GAGCAGGGAGGCTAAGAACAAAAAGCCCTGAGATGAGAAAGAGCTTAGTACAACCAAGGAACAGAAAGGTAATATGGCCAGAATGACTGGAGCCTTGGAGCAGAGATTAGGCAGGAGCCAGATCATGAGGGTCTTATAGGTCAGCAAGGGGTTTGCACTATATTCTGATTATATTGGGGAGCCATTAAGGATTTTAAGCAGAGGAGTGCTACTATCTAAGTTATACTTTTTAAAGATGATTCTTGCTGCTGGGAGAAAGGACTATGAAGTGGGTACAGATGGATACAGAGAGACCTAGCAGTCCAAGTCAGAAATAGTCATGTCTTAGACTAGAGCTATAATAGTGGAGATGACAAGAAGCAATTCAATTTTTAAAATATTTTGAAACAGGACTTATTAATGGATTGGATGTGGGTTTAGGGAGGTGCCACCTACTGAGATAGAGAAGCTTATGGGAAAAGCAGATTTGAGAACGAAATCAAGAGTTTGCTGTTCAACTTGTTAAACCAGGTAGGATGCCTTTTTGTATAGCATTGACTTTTAGACTCAATAATACTTCACATTCCCCCAATAAATAATCAAAACCAACCAGTAGCCCAGCCAGTGTGGCTCAGTGGTTGAACATAGACCTATGAACCAAGAGATCATGGTTCGATTCCAAGTCAGGGCACATGCCTGGGTTGTGGGCTCAATCCTAGTAGGGAGCATGCAGGAGGCAGCCAATCAATGATTTTCTTTCATCATTGATGTTTCTATCTCTCTCCCTCTCTGAAGTCAATAAAAATATCAAAAAACAAAACAAAACAAAAACCAGTATGTGCGGAATCCAAAATGGAATATAAGCAGTAACAAACCTAACTATAAATAAAAGACCATTCTAAAGGGGGTCAGGAAGAAAATAACTAACCTAATTAACTTTGGAAAACAATATTTTCACTGGATAGTAGAAAAAGAACTGTATACAGCCCTAACTGGTTTGGCTCAGTGGATAGAGCATTGGCCTGCAACTGAAGGGCCGCCACACCCCCCACTGGGAATGGGCCCGCAACCCAGGCACATGCCCCCGACCGGAATCAACCCTGGGCCCTCTCAGTCCGCAGGCCGACGCTCTATCCACTGAGCCAAACCGGTTTTGGCAAAATCAATTTTTTAAATAAGAACTGTATACAAATACTGTGCTATTGTGAGTAAAAGCATTTCTCACAAGGGTATGGAATAGCAATTCTGTATCTATTTTATATGTACAAAGTTGACCCTTAAACAACACAGGGGTTAGAGGTGCTGAGCTCCATGCAGTTGAAAATCTGTAACTTTTTTTAACTGATTTCAAAGAGGAAGGGAGAGGGAAAGATAGATAGAAATATCAATGATGAGAGAGAATCACTGATTGGCTGCCTCCTGCATGCCCCCCACTGGGGATCGAGCCCAAAACTGGGGCATGTGTCCTGACTGTGAATCAAACCTTGACCTCCTGGTTCATAGGTCGATGCTCAATCACTGAGGTACACCAGCTGGACAAAAATGTTTAACTTCTGACTCCCCGAAAGAGTAACTACTATTGGTCTACTGCTAAACAGAAGACTTACCAATAACATAGTCAACTGACATATATTTTGTATGCTATATGTATTATATACAGTATTCTTACAATGAAGTCAGCTAGAAAAATGTTAAGAAACACCTGGGCTCTGAGCACCTCTTTTAAAAATATGGATATATTTTTACTGATTTCAAAGAGGAAGGGAGAGGGAAAGATAGATAGAAATATCAATGATGAGAGAGAATCACTGATTGGCTGCCTCTTGCATGCCCCCCACTGGGGATCGAGCCCAAAACTGGGGCATGTGTCCTGACTGTGAATCAAACCTTGACCTCCTGGTTCATAGGTCGATGCTCAATCACTGAGGTACACCAGCTGGACAAAAATGTTTAACTTCTGACTCCCCGAAAGAGTAACTACTATTGGTCTACTGCTAAACAGAAGACTTACCAATAACATAGTCAACTGACATATATTTTGTATGCTATATGTATTATATACAGTATTCTTACAATGAAGTCAGCTAGAAAAATGTTAAGAAAATCATAAGGAAAATACGTTTACAGTACTGCACGTATTTATTTTTTAGAAATACGCATATAAGTGGACCAGCACAATTCAAACCCGTGTTGTTCAAGGGTCAACTGTACTAGGATTGAACAAATAAGTAAATTTAGTGTAGCTAATGAGAGCCAAATTTCTCACTGTTAGAGAAAGAAGTTACAATAACGGAAATAAGAAGACAAGAATGAACCTTGTAGGGTTGGACTGGAATCTGAGGTATCACTATGAATTATGGTTTTCATATATACATACAGGTAAATAAATAGAGAGGTATATGTTACCAGTGCAGGTTAGGATTCATGCATTTATTTCCTAGCTCTATCTACTGAGAGGATCTAGGAGCAAAAACACCCTAGGATCAACATTACAGAAACCTAGTACCCAAGTCTTGGTTTATAAATATCCAATAAAAGGAACAAGGGCTCTTGGCAGAAGTGGTTCATTCCAGGGCTATAATGAGCCTGGAACATCTTATTCCAGAAAATAAGTGCTCAAAACATGTTGGAGGTATGTCAAAGTGCTACAGGGGCCAGCCAAGAGAAGCGTCCAATGATCAAAGCTGCAATGACTTGAAAAACAAAATAAATAATGATAAACTGAGTTAAAACTTACAGAATAAAATAAATACCCATGAATCTGTACTGATAATTGAATAAATATATAATTGGGGCGGGGGTTGGGGGGGCGCTCTTCCACATGGAAGAAATCTAATTAATAAATTAGAAGGGCCCTAGCCGGTTGCTTAGTTGTTAGAGTGCCAGTCCTTGGACTGAAGGGTCTCGTGTTCGATTCCAGTCAAAGGCAGTACCTCAGTTGCAGGCTCCATCCCTGGCCCTGGTCAGGGCGCATGTGGGAGGCAACCAATCGATGTGTCTCTCTCACATAGATGTTTCTCTCTGTGTGTCTCTCCCCCTCCCTTCCACTCTCTTTAAAAATCAATAGAAAAATATTCTTGGGTGAGTATTAATAAAACACAAAAAATAAATTAGAAGGAATGAGAGAAACATAAAGTCACCATTAGGTAAACACCATAGTAATAACTATTGCAGGCCAGATCCACCAATAGAGATGCTAAAAGTACTAGGCAAAAGTTTGAACAGAAATAGGATAGTAGCATAGTCTCAAAATATTCAATAGTAACTTTAAGTAGAGAAACCTGGCAGACACCACCTTAACAAAGTGATCAAGGTTAACATCATGGGTAATAAACCATCTTGACATCATGCACTCCTTGATATGAGGCACTGAAATGGACACATCATTTCTGTGGCATGTTGGCAAAAAAAGAAAAAAGGATAATCTCAATCTAATTATGAAAAATCATCAGACAAACCCAAACTGAGAGATATCCTATAAGATAACTAGCCAGTACTCATCAAAAGTGTCAAGGTCATGAAAACCAGAAAAGGCCATAACCGGTTTGGCTCAGTAGGTAGTGCGTCGGCCTGCGGACTCAAGGATCCCAGATTCAATTCTGCTCAAGGGCATGTACCTTGGTTGTGGGCACATACCCCATAGAGAGTGTGCAGGAGGCAACTGATCGATGTTTCTCTCTCATCTATGTTTCTAACTCTCTATTCCTCTCCCTTCCTCTCTAAAAATCAATAAAATATATTAAAAAAAGAAAACCAGAAAAGGAAGAGGAAGTATCACAGATTAGGGGAGACTAAGGAGAGATAATAAATTCAATTGCAGGATCTTGGATCAAATCCTGGAGCAGAAAAGGATTTAAGAAAAATGGGTGAAATTCAAATAAGGTCTACAATTTAATTAGTGGTGATGTTATGAAAGATTTTTGTCCTGCTTCACACTTTCTTTTTTTATATTTTCTAAATTTAAAATATATTACTTTTACAATAAACGAAATTATTTGTTACCTTTTCCTTTCTATAAACTTTATTCAAAATTATATCATAAAGAGTGGTCATAAAAGGATATGTAAGTGGCAACTTTTACTTACTGCTCACTTTGTTTCCTACCCACACCTGCCCCAGCTCTTGCTTTTAGAATTCTCCTTAGCACAACTGTATTCATTATATGAAAAAGGCATGGACACCATGGTTACTATGTGAAAAGGGCTCTTTAATCATTAGCTGTCAGTCATAGGCTCTGAAGCATTAGGGAAATAGGACTATGGGTGACATGCAAGAATCTCAAAATCATTATGCTGACCAAAGAAAGCCAGAATGAAAAAGAATACACATTACATGGTTCCATTTACATGAGAATAGACAAAACCAATTATGCTGAAAGAAATTATAACAATGCTTGCGGAGGATTAACTGTAAAGAGCACAAAGGTGCTTCCTGGGATGAGACGATAGAAATGTTCTGTATCTTGATCAGAGTGATAGTTGCATGGCATGTACATCTGTCAAAACTGATCAAACTATAAATCTTATTATGCATTTTATTCTAGATACGTTATGCGTCCTTTTAAAAGAAAGAGTATTGATGGGGAGAAATATGTGGCACAAAAATTTCATTAGGTTAAAAGTAGCCAGTAATCTAAGTCATAATTACTCATCCAAAAAAAAAGTGAAAAATAATGGGTGTTTATTAAAAATAGCCTTAAGATATTCTGATACAGCCCTAGCCGGCTTGGCTCAGTGGACAGAGCGTCGGCCTGCGGACTCAAGGGTCCCAGGTTAGATTCCGGTCGAGGGCATGTACCTTGGTTGCGGGCACATACCAGTAGGGAGTGTGCAGGAGGCAGCTGATCGGTGTTTCTCTCTCACTGATGTTTCTAACTCTCTATCCCTCTCCCTTCTTCTCTGTAAAAAATCAATAAAATATATATTTTTTAAAAAGGTATTCTGATACATGGTAGAACACAGATGAACTTTGAAGAATTACCTTAAGTGAAATAAGCCAGTCACCAAAAGACAGATCCTATATAATTCTACTTATATGAGGTACCTAAAGTAGTTAAATTCATAGAGACAGAAAGTAAATGGTGATTTTGAGGGGTTGAGGGAGGAAGGAAGATGGTAGTGTGGGAAGAAAGTTCTAGAAATAGATAGTGGTGATGGTTGCACAATGTAAATGTATTTAATGCCATTAAACTGGATACTTGAAAATGGTTAAAGTGGTAAATTTTATGCTATATATATTTTATTACACAAAAAAAGCAAAAAAATAAAAAATAAAATAACTCAAAAAACCCAATATAAAAACTCTGAAATCCATTACTCTGCTTATCTCGTTTAGGTGTAAAGACCTATGGAGCACTGCCTTGGATGCATTCTTTGAAAAGAATCAATCATTCCTTTCTCAATCCTTCTGGGTATGAGCCAAAAGGAAACTGGCTCTGCACTGTTCTCTCATTTTATCTTACATCTTAGATCTACTAAGCTGTTAGGACAGAAGTCAGTGATGTTTGTGTCCTTCAGAGCAATGGTCCCTAATCACTTAGGAGTTTCTGAACAGTCACTGACTACAATTCTTTAATTCTTCATCCCGGTATAATAAAGCTACTTCGTCTAGTTCATAAATTAGGTCCTCAGAGGTTTACACTTTGAGAGAAACAACAAAAAAAGTATGTAATTGAATTACAAGCAGAAGTAGGAACTCAAGGCTTATAGAAAAGTCAGACAGAACAGAAGTTTCAGCTCACCTGCCTTGGAAACCCCCCTGCGCCTTGCAGATATCAGCACACTCAGCAGACCCAGGCTGCATCCATCTGCACCTACACATAATCAGAATGCAGCAGCACTCCCCACAGGGCTTACCTCATGCTGGGAATGGCATGGTAGCCCAGTCGGAAGCGGAGTTTGCTGGGTCCAGCAGCATCTGCAATCACCTTTTCCCCCACAGCATGCATATGTTTGAGGAGCTCAAGATGTTCCCTGGTCACAGCCTTCAGACTGGAAATCGAGGCCCATGGTAAGACCAGCCAGTGGTGACGGGCCTTGGGGTATTTATCCTTAATCACCACCACCTGCTCATCTTTGTAAACCTAGAAGAGGGGCAAAGGAGAAGGAAACAGACATTTTCCATGCATCTTCTGTGCCAGGTGCTGTTATATTCATTAACTCACTTAATCTCACTACAATCTTCTGTAAAAGTTTTTAGTATCCCAATTTTGACAGATGAAAGCAGAGACTCAGATAAGCTGAGTGTCTTATGCAAAGTCACAGTTACAAAGTAGGAAATCTAGGATTGCAACCCAATCGATCAGCTGCCTCCTGCACACCTCCTACTGGGGATGTGCCCGCAACCAAGGTACATGCCCTTGACCGGAATTGAACCTGGGACCCTTCAGTCCACAGGCCAACGCTCTATCCACTGAGCCAAACCGGTTAGGGCCAGTCTGTGTTTTAATCACCACACTACACAGAAGATGCACAGCATGAAGTACAGTAGTTGTTAAGGATCTGATGTGAGATCCATCCAGGCATCAATTAAATGCTCCCTTCTCCACTCTACCACAGCAGACCATATGACATTTGCCCGTGTGTTCCAAGATGCCCTATCAGATCTGGCCCTTGTCATCCCAGTAGATAATTTAAGAACTCAAAGAGCCCTCCTAGGGTGATACCGGACTATTAATCCCAGGATAAGCCTGTAACCACAGTCATTATTATCTGATGCTCTCTTGAAAGGGACCACACAGTAAGGTTAACTCAACTTCCCTCAATAGTATGCAGAAGTTTAAGAGGAACAAGGCAGAGGGGATATTCATTTGAAGAACTTAGTTTCTCTCCAAATAATTTCAGGTACTAACTTATTGGCAATGGGAAAAGCTACATGTTCTCACAAATAGCCCAATAAAACAAATTTCATTTGAAACACTGATCGCCTTTGATTTCATTTACAGTTATAAACTCTGCCGATTATTTCAATGCCAAAATTTTATTCTGACCTGCATTTTGGGATCCTGCATAGAAATCTTCAAGCCTTGACTCCAGTGGCCCAATGATTCCTAAAACAATAAAGAGCAATGAAAGTCTCAAATGCCAATAGTTAAATTTGGCATTAGTTAACACTGAATGTCAGCAAAATCCAACCAAACTTGGAAATAAAGCTAATTTTTAAGAATTAAACTATATCCCCTTTATATCAATCTTTGCCTTTGTAATCATAAGCCATCCCCATTTTCTCCCTATATCCAGAGCTACATGTCTAGACAGAGGCTGGAAATGCCAGAGTATGAACCACATCTTCTTTGTCCTCTCCCACTCCATCTAAGCTTGACTAGGTCTAGGTCTCCACTTTGACATCCGGATGTGAATCACATGATCTATGAAAAGTGTTCCAATGCTAACCTTCTAGAAATACAAATGACTGACACATTTTAGTAGCTCAGTGTTAAGTATATTATTCCATTATCGCCCTACCTTCAAGTGGCTTACCTCAGGAATGCAAGAGAAAAGCACATAAAGGGATATTCACCCAAGTGACTGGTGACACAAACAAGTGGCTCTTTCATCTTGGTTAATAACCCCTATCATGGTTAATAACCCCTCACGTGTGCCTGGCTTTAGAGTGTACAAAACATTTAAGCCGTCATTATATCATTTAATCTCCACATCATCTATCAAGCAAAATACCCTCACCTTTTTGGTAGACTCATCTGTCCCCTTGTTTGGGGGCACAAAGCGTTGGCTAGGGTCACTCCCAGGTACCAGTCCTGTACTGGGCTCAGCTTCCTGGGCAGCATCCCTTTCTAAGGAATCGCTGTTGCCTGACCTCTTTCTCTTCCTGTGTGTTTCCGGGCCAGGGCTCTTTGCCTCTTCCTCAAACTCTACAATATACGGATAAAGTTCATTCACAATGTGGAGAACCTGGCCAGGCTGCAGCTTCACCTCTTGGTCCTTCCCAATTATGACCGAGTCAATGCTGCTGGGATTGACCCCTACCTATGAAATAATCAGAAGGTAATTACAAACAAGCAACAATCCCATCACTAATATAGTCACTGTGTGTTAACCACTTACTATGTGCCAGGAACTATGCTTAATGTTCACTTATATTACTCCATCACTTCCACACATGACAGAGAAGACTTACTGGCTGGCACTGACACTCTAAAGTCAACAGCATAAGAAAATCGTCAAGTATAAAATGGAAATTCAAGTCACAAACAGACATACCTGCTTTACCTTGACATATCCTTTGTTACACTCTGCTTTCAACTGCACTGAAAGAGATTGAAAAAAGTCAAACCCAAATGCCACGAAGAACCAGGCAGTTCCTCCTATTCTCTCTACAGGACAATGAAGCCTCATGAAGGCAACTTGACATGGGTTTCCTCAAAGGCCGAGGGGGCAAAACTGCCCATTATACAGGTGACTGGGGCTCCAAATCCTTCCATAAAATGTCCAACAGGTCATCATAAATTAAAATTTGATTTTCTTCACTCAGAGAATATTAGCGTGATGGGACTATCTGTTTATTCTCTGATATTTGTGGAATCAAACACTTAAAAATAAAAAAAGTCCAACAGTGTACATACTCCCTTAGCTACTGCTAATATCCCTAAGAGGCAGCTTCACTAAGTCCCCACAAGTCTCCCTATTCCAGAGCCCTTGGCCACCTGGGGTCACAGACTCTGCAATCAGGGAAGGGGACCCACTTCTCTTACAAGCTCTTCACTCAAGATTAAATCAGGCTCCCGCTATTACATAAAACTATCAGATGCCTTTACCAGAGAAAGGGGCAAATGATACATTTCTGGAAAACAGACGTTCAGCTGGCCTTGGGTAGGAGGAGTGGAGAGAATAGTCTAGAATAGCGGTTCTCAACCTGTGGGTCGCGATCCCTTTGGCGGTCGAACGACCCTTCCACAGGGGTCGCCTAAGACCATCCTGCATATCAGATATTTACATTACGATTCATAACAGTAGCAACATTACAGTTACGAAGTAGCAACGAAAATAATTTTATGGTTGGGTCACAAGATGAGAAACTGTATTTAAAGGGCCAGAAGGTTGAGAACCACTGGTCTAGAAAGAGGAACAGTCAGAACAATCTGAGCATGTGTGGGAAGAAGTAACATTTATCACTCATGCTCAGGTGAGTGAGACAGGGAACAAAGAGGAGACACCACAGCTGCTCTCCAGAGAGGACAGGCGGACACACACCTATTGTGACCAGGGGGACAGAGAGTGAGAAGCAACATCTGCTTCTGTATCTTGGGCCTAGCCAGGTCAAGCATGACTTTTTTTCACCCATTTAGATTAACTCATGTGGCAAAACCAATAATCAGTGCTGCAACTCCAAGCCTCGGGAAACCCTGCTATGGGGAACGTACAGCACTGGGAGGCCTGGTAGCAGTGAGCATGTCCAGAAGTTTACAGGCAAAAAAATGAGGTATATGGTAAGGCTTTTTCCTAAGGACTTTCATTTCATTAAATCCCAGGGGTGACACTTCAAGAGCTAGATACTATCATCTTATAAAGATACCACCCTCTGGGAAAGACAGAGGTGGGGAGGTAGATGAGGGACATTAACTGGGAAACTTATACACATATATGCATAACCCATGGACACAGACAATGCTGTGGTGAATGCCTGGGAAGGATGGGTGCCGGGTAAGGGGGTCAGTGAGGAAAAAAACAAAGGGGACATCTGTAATACTTTCAACAATAAAGATAAATTTTTAAAATAAATAAAAATAGCACCCTCTGTATGAGGCAATATGTAAAGGATGGAACGATCCCATCACTTCTCAGACACAGTTTCAGCCTGGAGATCCTAGAATTCAACTGTCTCATTTCCCAACTCGGACCCTTCCTAGACAAAGCAGGGTGCCACCACCAATAGTAACAGGAAGGACCCGTCTGTTCCCAACACTGAATAGTAACTGTTTTCAGAGGGTGGAATCAGGAGTGAATGGGGCCTGGTGTTGGCTAAAAGAGCCCTGTTCCTGAGTTTTGTTTATGGCAGACCAAACGTTTTCCATCATGACCACCCAGAAAATGCGCACCTTTGGTTATCACTACTCTAAGGAACCGGGCATGGTGCTCTCCACATTCTTGTGACCAGTGAGTTACCTTGCTGTCGAGAACATTTCTTATCAGTGATCTTGGTCTCTGGGCCACGCCCAACCACCACTGCTTCCAAATGTGGAAGTTTGATTCGCTGGTGCCGGTTGTCCTGTCTCACCAACCAGCACACCCGCATCATTACTCTGAGAGACAAAACAGAAGAGAATCATGGAAAAACTAGCACAAGTCCTCCAGGGCCACACCCCAGATACCACACATGCCATATATCATCTGTTCATCTTGAGGCAAGTGACTTCACCTCCCTAGTCTCAATTTCCTCACATGTAAAATGTGATAATGACAGGATTCATAAGACTGTTGTGAGAATTACCTAAGAAAATGTGGGTAAAGTATTCACCTCTGTGCCTGAATCATGCCAAGCAATCAAATATTTGTTATATTTATTGATATACTTTATGTGCTGGGCATTAGGCTACAGGTTGAGGATCAAAGAATGATTAAACATTGTCCCTATTCTTCTGGGGCCTGGAGTACAATGGGACAGATTGACTCATATGCCATTTATTAAAATATAATGTGATAAGCATTGTAAGAAGGGAGTAACCAAATACGGCATTAGGTCAGGCAAAGGAATGACTGACTCTTGCAGAGAGTATCAAAAAAGACTTTATGAAAAAGGGATATTTATAATGGGTTTTAAAGGACCAAAAAAGAGTTTGCCTGGCAGAAAACTAAGAACATAAAAACAGAAGATATTCTTCAGTCTACAGGCACTTTTTGTGTATTTGAAGGTTTCCCTTCTTTAACTGTCATTAACATACTGATGTTAGAATGATGTTTTGCTGCCATCTGCCAGAAGACTGTCATAATAAATTGCAGACATGCAATTTCCAAAGTATGACTGCAGCACCTTTGTGCAATACACAACCTGCACAATAGTGGAGGTGCTGGCATTCTTTTGAAAAACAACACTTAAGACCATGTAGAGTTTCAGCAGAAGAAAAAGAGACAAGAAATTCTGCCTGAGCAAAGGCAGAACAAAGGGGATGGAGAGGAAGAACAGCCAGAAGAAATCATGAAGGTAGACTTAATTACTGACTGCATTTGGGGAATGACAAAAGAGGAAAGGGAGATAACCAGGATTCCTAATTTGGAAATATCCATTAACCAAAAGGAAGAATATACAAAGAGACATAATTTGGGGATAAACAGTAGGTAAAGAAGAGATGATTTAAGATTAAAACACAATTAGATTAAGTTGCCAATGAAAGATCCAAGGGTCAAGGTGGGATGGATGGATACAGATGATAATTAAATCTCCTTGTATATAGGCTGCATCACTGTCCATCCATTCAGAAAATTTGGAGGAAGGCTCTTTGGAGATCATTGCCCTGGGTTAGGCCTGGTCTTCAGCATACTTTTCTTCTATAGCCCCTGGTGTTCAGCATGCTTTTATCAAGTGCATACTATGTGCTAGGCATTTGCTAAATAAATTACTTATATCATCTCATTTAATCTTCACAACAACTCTCATTGCAAGGAAGCAAAAATTTAAGGCTTAGAGAAGATAAGTAATGTGTTCAAGTCATACAGCCAATGTGTGCCAGAGACAGGATTTGAATTAATTCCAAAGAACAGGCTCTTTTTTTAAAATATATCTTTTATTGATTTCAGAGAGGGAGAGAGATAGATAGAAACATCAATGATGAGAGAGAATCACTGATCGGCTCCCTTATGCACACCCCCTACTGGGGATCAAGCTCACAACCCGGGTATATGCCCTTGACCGGAATCAAACCAGGGACCCTTCCGTTCATAGGCCAACACTCTATCCACTGAGCTGAACCAGCTAGGGCTAAAGAACAGGTTCTTAATCTGCACCATATGCCTTTATCATTGAGTCAAAATTACTGCATGCCCGCTATGTTCCTTGTGCCAAACTAGTGCTGGGAGTAAAGACATAATACATTTCACTTGCATTGTATGATACAGGTATAATACATCATACCTGCCATCACAAAGATAGGGCACAAAGGAAGTATCCAACCCAGAGTTGGAGAAAGGTGTCAAGAAAGGTTTCCTATAGGCGTTGAGCCTACAATGAGCCCTATATATATAAAAACCTGGTTAATTAGGTGAAAGGGAATAGCTAACTAAGTGAGGAGAAGTGGAGAAAGAGCCTGGCTGGTGTGGCTTGGCGGTTGAGCGTCGACCTATGAACCAGGTCACAGTTCGATTCCTGGTCAGAGCACATGCCCAAGTTTCAGGTTCAATCCCCAGTAGGGGGCATGTATGAGGCAGATCAAGGATTCTCTCCCGTCATTGTTTCTATCTCTCTCTACCTTCCTCTCTGAAATTTGGAAAAAAAAAAAAAGCCCTAACCGGTTTGGTTCAGTGGATAGAGCATTGGCCTGCGGACTGAAAGGTCCCGGGTTCGATTCCGGTCAAGGGCATGTACCTTGGTTGCGGGCACATCCCCAGTATGGGGTGTGCAGGAGGCAGCTGATCGATGTTTCTCTCTCATTGATGTTTCTAACTCTCTATCCCTCTCCCGTCCTCTCTGTAAAAAATCAATAAAATATATTTAAAAAAAGAAGAAGAAAGAAATCTGGGAGAAGACTCCAATAAAAGTGAACAGCAAGGGCAAGTGCACAAAGGAACAGCACTGTACAGATGAAGAAGCAGGTCAGTGTTGCTGCAACCCAAAGTATGAGGCAGAAAAGAGGCTGAAGATTCAAGCAGGTCCAAATGAAGCACGGCCCTGGATGACTGGCTGAGAAGCTCATATTTTAGAAGTTCCAATGAATTTTGCAATTCAGTAAACAATAAGTATGTGCTGAATGAAAGAGCAAACAGATGACAGAACAGAAAGCTCTTTAAAGATTATTAAGCAGGACTTTGACAGAGATTTGGTTTCAAAGATCATTTCGGGGAGGAGGTAGGTAGTGTGGACAAAAGATATGTGGAGAACAGAACTAGAGGCAGGGAAACCAGTTAGAAGCCCACTGTATTTCAGGTGAGAGATGATGAGGCCTGAAGTAGGACAATGGAGAGATAAAGTAGAGAGTACAGACTTGAGAAACATTTCGGGGATAAAATCATTAGAATTTAGTGATGGGTGTGATAAAGTAAGTTCAGGGAAGATGCTGAGTTCAGTTTTGGGCCTCTGAATTTGAGCTGCCTGTGGGAGTTGCAGGCAGAGCTGTCCAGCAGGGTAGTCAGAAGTGAGGGTGAAACTCAGAAAAGAGGTCTAATATGACAACTTCTATTTGAAAGCATGTAAGGAGTTAAAACCAAGCCAGTTGATGTGTTCACTCAGGCATTATGTACAAAATGAAA